GGTGCGCTGCCTAGCGGCGAGATGGATCGTCTATTGCGCACCATGGCCATGCGACAGCAAGAAGGCAAGACGCCCTACACCGATCCGTTGATCGAGTTGGACGACCAGATTCGCGCCGTGGCGACCAGCCCCAGATTGGATCAACGCACGCGCCTGAAACTGTTGGAAACTCAACTGGTGCAATACAGGAATCTGATGCGTCGCAGTCGACAATACGCGCGTCCAGATGTGGGAAGCACGCAACGACCCAGCGCCATGCCTCGATCGACGCCCACTATGTCGGCTTCGCCTTTGGCCACGCCGCAAGAGTCCAGGATCTCTCGACCCCCACCTCAAGCACGCTCGCTACCGCCAAGCTATAGCTCGCTGACGTACTCGCCTTACGTGGGGTCGCCTTTGAGCACCAAAGTGCAAGGGATGAAGGAACGCTTACTAGAACTAAAGAAAAAAGAGCTGGCCGAGTTGAAAAAGCGATCGACCGGCTTCGAATACGACATGGGAAAAAGGAGAAAGAAGGGAACCCGGATTCCTGCGCCCACGTTTGAGACGACGCCGCGCAAGACGCGCCAGGGGACGATCTACGGTTTTGGGAAGAAGAAGAAGAAGAAGACGGGCAAGGCCGACATAGCAAAACTGTACGCCGATGCCTACGGTCCCGAGTGGAAAAAAGTGCGCTTTGCGCGCCGTTAGCAAGAGAGACATTAAGAAAAAACCAGCCTGGATGTTTTACAAAAATATTTTTTTATTAAAAAATGCTATGTACAGCGAGTGTGTCTTCTTTCTTTTACTTTTTATTCTACTTTAGCTGACGAAGACAGTTCCACCTTGACGACTTGGGAGGCGGGCGGGGAACGACGTAACAACGTACGTCCAAGCACTTGGATCATCTCCAACACTTGACGAAGAAACCCCATCAAACGGTTAAACTGTGAGAGCCTCATGATGAAGAATTAGGAAGACCGATCTCGTTTAGAATACGCTCCAATTCTGTTTCTTCTTCTTCACTTCTAAGCCTTGCACCAAAAGTCCCCTGTTGTATTCCAGGCCCCGGCCCCTCAAACGTATGAAATCCTACAGTGACGCCTGGTGGGAGTGCAGCCGAGGCAGTTCCTTCTTCCAACACTTCGACGTGACGCCGCTTACGGCTTTTTTCTTTGCTCTTTTCTTTCTTTCTTTTTCTTTTCTCTGGTGGTGGTTCTGGATTACTGCTGGGTGGCAATGGCTTTGATGAACTGTCGTCTGACGGAGTAAGTTTTATAGGCAGCTTGTCTAGATTCTTCACGAACTTTCGATAATCAGCGTCGGCTTTGGTGCTGATGCCTACTAACTTGTTAAATCCGTCCAAGACGTTCACGATGAATTTGTGCAGATCTGAAAAATCCGGCAAGCCAAAGACTTCGTCGGATTGTAATACCGACATGTCTTCGCGCCACTTGTTGGTCAAGGACCAAAATGTTTGAATGACGCCAGAAATGGCCGTGCTTTGCTGCAACATCTTGAGTTCTTGCAAGCTCTTGGGCGAACTGTCGTCCTGCTGAGGAGGAGAAGGCGAAATAGGCGATGCAGCGAGTTTGGACCCTGGTGGTGTGGGGCTCATGCTTCTGACTTCAACGGCGACGAAGAATGAATGAAAAACGTGACGGTATCGAGTCTCTCTTTAACGCAGGGGTGTGATTCACTTTCGAATAAGACTATCGAAAGAAGTAGGGCACAATCACTGAATTTATAGTCGGTCTATTATTAGTAAGAAATGGCAAGAGTTGTGTTTCGAAAAAGTCAAGAGCACCTCGGGCCGACATGGTAGGAGCAATGACATAGCAGCGTGGCATGCCGAAATAATCCATGCGATATTGCCAATAGCCGGGTTTGTTTTTTGACTCGTTGAGACGCACCACGTCGATTCGCTCATCAATCACGTTGGAAATGTGAAATTCGCGATGATACTCGGGCATGTCGTGCAATGGGTCTTGAGTGTAACTGTACTCGCCAGGCATCTCGGCCAATATCTTGTCAATGTCAATGTCGTCTTCTTTTTCTTTTTCTTCTTCTTTTTTTAATTTTTTAGCTGGTGGGTCAATTATGCTCCAATTCTAGCAAACACTCGTCCAACTTGTCGTAACAAATGCTGCGATAATCGGTGAGCGTAGAATACAAATCTCGTAGATTGCGATCGGCTTCTTGAATCTCGCTCAATGCCAAGTGGCTATGCACGACGTCAAACTTGGTTCTCAAAAGATTAAACATGCGCGATATGGCACCCTTCAAATATCGTATTTCAGTTTCCATGTCGATTGACATGTACACGTCTTGCATGGGGCGATGAGGGCGATTATTAGCGGGAGTAGCGACGTCTGGATGTTTTGCAAAGCTCACAGTTTTGACGGGGAAACCTTTGAGCATCTCTCTTTTCTTTGGCTTCTGTCAGCATCTGATACGTCAAGTGATGAATAAAAGCGTCCCAGTACAAATTGCGGGGTGGGCGCGTTCCCACTGTAGCTTGAATGAAATAATACAGCAACGATAGCAACATGACGATTATAGATAAAATGAGATACGAAAGCGAGACGATGTTTTTTATTAGGCTCGAATCTTGTCGGCCATGTTCATGAAAGAATCAGAGACTTGGTCTAGCAGATGATACAAGTTGTTGACTTGTCCGTCGGTTGGGTGACAAATATACAAGCGATCCATGTCGCCCATGTGGCGTCGCACGCGCTCGGCATCTTGCGGATTTTCTTTTTCCAACATTTCCAGCCTTTTCCAAATGCGCCAGCCTTCGATTTGCCCCATGATCTCTTTCATTTCATCCCCCATTTTGTTAAGCCAACGCTTGATAGGGACGACTTCGTGAACCGGTGCTCGAAGACCTTCGCTGCTAAATCCTACATCCCACGTCTCGAAAGGGATGATGTTGCAAGGCAAATCATTTTGCATCCACCCATTGTGAAGATAATAATCTTGAGCCTTGGAAGAAAGGTAATATCCGTCCTTGCACATATACTCGTCTATATTTTCTAGAGTATTGTACAATAGAAAAAAATCTTTGGGCGACAGATAATCCTTTTCCGACATCATGATGCACGCTTGTTGAGGTTGAGAGTACGAAATGAAAATGACTCGTAATGTTTTTTGAATTTTTTATTTACAGAAACTAAAAGCTTTTACAATTTCACTTTTTAGCGATGACACGTCGTTGACGCTTGGCAGGTGTTGGACCATCATCGGCCGATGTGTTGCAGGCTGACGAGTAAGTACAAGGAACATCCGGGTCGGTCTTGTCCATGCGACACTTGAACACGATGCGCTTCTTGTCCCACGACATGCACGGCTTGGCTTTGCAATTATGATCGCACTCGGGCCAACTGTCGCTGTGAAACTGCACGTCGTTCTGAAAATGATAGTTCAGCGCGTGTACCATCTGTGGATAAAATCCAAACTCGCAGAACAAAGTGCACGGACGCACTTCTCCGTCTAAATCGTTAAAGTTTCGTCCGCACTTGACGTAAATCTTGCCGTCGTCCTTCTTGCTGTTGACCTGAGAGATAGGCAGACCGCAAAAACACTTTTCTATCTTAAGCTTGCCATCGTTAGTATCTTTATTGCTTTCCATCAACAGTCTTTCTAGAAAGGCTTGGGGGCTGCATCCTGCAGCTGCTGCTCGGTCATCCAGTAGCATCTCGACGGAGAGAATGGATCCAGTAGTTTTGTTGTCGACTGCCATCGCGCCAATGGTGTAGATTGAGTGGTATCATCTGAATCCTTCGAGTTGGTCTTTAAACTCTCTGAATTTCCCAGAGTACTTTGCACAATATCCTTCAGAGGCAATTCCGAAACTTCATTGTGTCGGTTACGAAAGTAAACACTCAAGTTGTTTATTATGCTTGACCAATTTTGGACAAAAAGTGAAATATCCATGCCCAAAAAAGCAAGATCCTGTAAAGTGCAAGAACGATTACAGTCGTGCTCTCGCAACTTCTTGGCCTCAATCAGGCCCTCTCCTATTCTAGAAATGAAATAGTTTAGCAGCTCGCACGCGCAGGCTTCATTCGTCGCCATCCTCGTCTAGATCGAAGTGCTATGGATATACGCCAAGCAGTTAAACTTATTGAGTCTGAAGGGCGAACGGGATGGAAAGAAATAATTGAAGAACTTCCGGGAGTGCTTCGCGCTTCGCGTTACCTAGCTCATATTCAGTATGACGCCAAAGAGCCTGCCTGTTTTTATCCCGAACGCATGTGCGCCGTGAATGCTTTGGTATTAGGCAAACCGGTAAAGGGACACGAATTTTCTAAACTACGCCGCTACACGACTTGGGAAGGAAAACTAAAAGAATATCCAGCCCCGTATCTGATAAACGGTAAAATCGACTTTATGTTGGAAACGTTTTGGGGGGAATATCGACTCTACGATCCAGTCAATGCCATGGCCACCTTCCTGTGTCACTTTATGGAAATCCACCCGTTCGGAGACGGCAACGGGAGGACTGCGAAACTCTTTCTCTGGTTAGCCCTGCGTATGCTGTTGCCCGACATGAAGCTGGCTCATTATCCCAAATACGAAGACTGGTGCACTTGGGTGATGAATTGGAGAGGTCCCTGGGGTTCCTTCCACAAAATCTACAAATGGATAGGACGATTAGCCCCCGAAGCCTTTCTGGCCTGGGCAAGGACGCCTAAAGACATTGATCCTTTTTGGATAAGGCAACCTTATCATCCCAATCCTCGCTGGTTAGAAGTCGATCGCGAAGCCGAGACCGAGAGCTCTACCTCCGACAGTGACAGCGACAGTGACTTTGCCTTCGATTGGCGAGAACAATCTCCTTGCTTTTTTGATGCTTATACAGATGCCGAAGAGTGGTTTCTCAATCATTATGGTGCGTGTTCGAAAGATTGTAGCCGTTGCAAGGAGATGGCAGAAAAAATGGATGCAGATCTCGAACGCCTCGAGCTGCACAACTGCGATGATCAATGCTGCCATTCTGTAGATGATGGGAAAGGAATCTCTGCATAGCTCAGTTGGAAGAGCGCGGGACTGTAGTGTCGACGGTCATCCTGCGGTCGTGGGTTCAAATCCCACTGTAGAGACTTTTTTATCTGTTTATTGTAAAAAGAATAAAATGAGAAATAAAATTGTGGAATTAAAAAATGAAAAGTGGAAAAATAAGATTTGAAAAATAAGAATTAAAAAATGAAATATTTTTTCTGACCACCCCTCCCCCAACCGGATGTCCTCGGCGGCTATCTTTCTAACCCACCCCTCCCCTTATGCTACTCGGGGCCCTTCGGGCCCCCTGTGTATCTTACTAGAACCCACCCCTCCCGCGGGCTATCCCTATGGTCACGTGCCGCCCAGGTGGCTCCTGATTGGTTCAGAGCACTTAGAACAATAGATGTCGTCCCGCCTCCATATAGCCCAGTTTCAGGTCGGCCACCCTATTAACCCTTACTACTAGCATCTGTCATGCAAAGGTCCAGTATGTGACTTTAATTAGAGATTTTCTTGCGAAAAATGAAATATTTTCAAAAACCAATTACACAGCGATTGTTACCTAATCATACCTTATCAATATACAAAATATGAATAGATTTGATTTTTTGAGCCTTGCCAAAAAATTTCAGTTTTGTCTGGTTTTTGCGCGAAGCGGCTCTTACTATCTTGTATGTACCACCTATTTTGAACATAAATGTATTCACGTGCCTAATAATAATGAGAATGAGGTTTTAAAATCAATGTTTTGTCAAGTGCATTGTTTGTCATATCATTATCATTCTTTGAAACCAAATTCAAAAAAATGTAAGATCATACTGTATTTGCAAACATATGCTCTTGCCTAAACACATTATTATATTCTGGGTTTCAATATCAAAACTCTTTGCTTTCTTGTTCAGTTGACAAGCATAGTAGTACAAGAAATATTATTAAATTGTATATATTTACTCTATATTATAGTTCTTTGTTATGCCATTTTTGCAATATATACATATTATACTGTACGTCACCTCAGTATGATTTAGCACAATACCTTTCTATCTTGCTTTTGTCCCCAAGTCAATATTTTTCTTGTGCTTATTAAGCCATGCATACAACTTGGAAAAATCAATACTGCTAGATGGGTCTCTCTCAAAGGCTGGGAAATTTCTGTACTCCCTATTTTCATGGTTAGTTAAGGCATCTTCCTCCATTAGTTTGGAAACAATTTCAGTTATGTCATCTTTTTGACTACCATGGCTATGACTAGATCCACGGGATTTCTTTTGAATTTCTTTATCAATATTTGACAGTAGTTTTCTACATGACTGCTCCGAATTGCAAATGCGAGTAACAGCTCTTTCTGTGACATTAACACCTAGATTTTTTATGGCTTGTTTAAGATGCAAATTACTCATTTCCACTTCTAAATCAAGGGCAATGTTTGCACCAAGCCCACCTTTATTATTGACACTTCTGTTCCACTTTAATCTATGTGCATCTCTTGGTGTGAGCAGTGCATATATTTGAAATAAAAGATACAGACACTCAAGTGCATAGTTCTTACTGTGCTGCCCATCAGCCTTGCAAAGTATCATGAGGTACTTGTATTGGCGCATTATTCTGTCACCATCTGCTTCTGAGACAGAGTCTAAAAAATTAATGAAGAACAATCCCTCATTCATCAAAGCAGTGTTGTAATTGTACATATCATCTTGTGTGCTCTTCAAAAGTACTTTGTCTGGTTGTTCCTTGGTAAGCTTTACTTCAGGAGCAGGYGGTGGGGGATCATGAGTCAATTCATGATTTCTTCGTCTTTTGCCATCATGTTTGAATGACTTATTACAGCCAATGAAACGACAGGGATATCGACCATTCTCATTTAAGCTCTGTGCGTCAAGAATATCTTGCTGTTCTTGTGCGGTGATAACACTGTYGATCAGACCATTCACAGCTGCTTTCTGTAGAATAAACTTGTCGACAATCATAGAGGAGACTTTGAGTAGGAATTTAGATTGGTCAAATGTAGATCTTAAATCATTTGGTATTGGAGGTGATTTAGGTTGTGCATTCAATGTGTCCATCCCAAATATCTTGAGTGCTGCAGCAATGACTCTGGCCTTTACTTCAGTAATCAAGAAATCTTTGTTAGCTCTATAAGCTTTCCTAACCTCTAGCTTAACATTTCTCCTGTTGATGAGGTTTCTGTCACAAAACATTGTGCAAGGGTCATCATCTGAACATGGGCTGTACAGCATCTGCATAGGTTTAGACAGTACACATTATAAACTTCTTTTTCATGTACCACAAAATTGTTAATGATTGGAAAAGACTATATGATAGTCAATACCAAAGAGTTTTAAATGGGAGGGTCAAAGCATTATTGCTTTGACATGTGAAGCAATGAAATGAAAAATTRATATATTAATTTAATTAAACTTATTAATTATTTTCTTTAAAAATATTTTTTTACTAGTAAAGTACTTTGCTCATGAAATGGAATGTGAGCAGTTATTACCTTATAGTTCTTGCTCAACTGGAACAGTCTAGATAACAATACCTTGTTCCAACTGTTTCAGTTGAGTGATAGTGACCTATAGCAACTACAGCAAGAACTATTAAGTATGGTGAAGCAAAGCAAAATAAAAAAACTGACATACTAGAGCACCTTTGAGTTTATTCTTTGATTTTGTTGTTTCTTTTGTGTCAAAGGTTAATGATTTCACTGTGATAACTATTTACATTATTTTTTTCATGGATATAGTGTATGAAATCTACCAGTAAGCAAGATTACCTCTAATATCTTCATTCCAGTGTGCCAGTCAGCAATACCAGGAATGAGCCCTTCAAGTCGAGCTTCTTCGGTGTATCCATTGTTGACTRCCTTAATGGCATTGACAGCTCTGTCGATTGAAAGCTGGTCACCAATAAGTGGCTGCTTGTCGAAAACCTTTTCTCCCTGCTCATTGATTTCATAAGGTACACGGCTTTGAAGTATTTGTAGAATTTTAGTCATCCCTTCTGTTTCATTTTCATTTTCAAATATTATACCCAAGGGCACCTATTAGTGACAAGAAGTGTTATATGAGATTTTAGGGATGAAAATAAAAKATTTTGAAAAAGAAAATCATTATTTTATAATACCTTGTCTGATTTTTTCTTTGACATGTCACTGTATCTATGGGGAATGTGATACATGCAGGCCTKTTTGAAGCCTTCAAATGCAGGAATATACTCTACTAGTATTCGAGAAACAAGGACAATATAATTAAATCTCTGTTGGTTTTGATCCTCTACAGAAGGCAGAAATTTTGAATTGGAGATCTCAATTAGCTCTGCACTCTCTTTATCATTWGCAAAATCATTTCCTGAAACTCTATTAAACAYAGCAATGTGATTAACCCAATGTTCATCTTTATTCTGCTGATCTTTTCTCATGTACTTCCTTTCTTGTCTGATGTCAATAT